CTCCTGTGGCGCAGACAGCCGACGCACTCCTCCTCTGGGGCCGGCAGATTTTTGTAATTTTTGGTGGTGCCCCATTAGCCACACCCCCTGACTCCGTTAACCACACCCCTGATCCCCATTAGCCACATCCCCTGACCCCCATTAACTATGCCCCAACCCCCATTAACCAGGCCTCTGGAGGTAACACGCTCGGGGCAAGATGGACACATGACCAGAAGTAAAAGGTGTCATGTCACCCCTCTCGAAGGACTTTTCCCACCATCCTCCTACCAACAGGGATTAGTTTGGCCCCCACCAAACCCCCCTCATGCAACTATCCTGCAATTGCATTAACCCAATGTGTGTGACATTAACTCGGGGGCAGGATGTGTTCCCTCTAAGGCTATGTCTACACTCGCAGCTTCTTGCGCAAGTACAGACGGTCTTGTGCAAGAACTCACAGAGCAGCCACACTGCCCGCCTGCTCTTGCGCAAGGAAATTTACTGTATGGCGTAGTAAGAGAGGGTGTCTTGCGCAAGAGCACGTCCACACTGCCATGGATGCTCTTGTGCAAAAGCACAGTTCGCACATGGCAGAGTGGACGTGCTCTTGCGCAAGACACCCTCTCTTACTACGCCATACAGTAAATTTCCTTGCGCAAGAGCAGGCGGGCAGTGTGGCTGCTCTGTGAGTTCTTGCACAAGACCGTCTGTACTTGCGCAAGAAGCTGCGAGTGTAGACATAGCCTAAGAGTTTCCTCCCATGAGCAGAATGGATTTTGGGTTGTGCATCTGTACTGAGTTCATGTGGCTTGTTTGGATGTGCCATTGTGGCACCCAAGTTATTAATAAATATTTTATAAACCTTTACATTCTCTCTGCTGCCATATCTCCTCCCCTTGCTCCATCAGCTCCCCTGGTGCCTGCTGCCCCCCAACTCCTCCCCCTCCTCTGCTATCCTCACTCCTGCCCTTCTCACTCCCCTCAGCCCTCCTGGGACCTGCCCTCCTCCACCAGCCCTTCTCTCCCCATTCTGCCCACTCCTCCAGTAGCCCCACTCTGATCATGTGAGCTACCCCTCCCTCATCCCTTCTAACACCTCCCTCTACATGCCTGCCCTGCTTTTCTACTCTGGAACTGGTCCCTCCTCTGCAGGTGTCTGCCCTTCTGCTTTACCCCAGAATCCCCTGGCACCTGCACTTTTCCTTAACCCTGCACCCTCCTGATGCCTGTCCCTGCCCCCTTTGCCCTCTTTTCCCCTGATGCCCACCCCCTCACCACTCTCTGCCCCGTTCCCCTCCTGCCCTTCTGTGCCCTCACACATTACTTGCTCCATCCCCACCTTTCTCATGCCCACCCCTTCTTTCAAGCCTTCTTCCAGCACCTCCCCCACCCCTCTCTAGCCCCCAATGCCCTTCCCCTCTCCTCTCCTCTCCTCTCCTAGCATCACCGTGTCCCCCCTCCCACTGACACCTCCCCTCCTGCCCTTTTCCTCATTGTCTGCACTTGGCCCCCTGGCATTTATCTTTCTCCTCCACCCTGTCTCTTGCTGCCTTCCTCTTTCTTCCCCCTCCCCTTCTGCATAATCCCCTTCCTCTCCCACCTCTCCCCTCCCCCTCCGCACAAGCCCCTTTCTCTCCCCCCCCCTCCCTCTAGTTTTCTCCCTCCCCTACCTTCTGCCTTCCACTTTGTGGTGCCAGAGTCTGCGCTCGGGACCCAGACTCCAAACCCGGAGCTACTAGGCCACGTGGTGCTAAGGAGTTTTAAAGTCCCAGGTCGTGATGTCACGTCACGCCTGGGCATCCTCCCCGCCCACTTGTGAACGCCGTGCATGGCAGCAGCCGCCAGCGAGGGGGAGCCACACTGAAAGCTGCACACGGCAGGGACAGGGTGGGGCCAAGGG